TCCCCAAAGTCATGGTCATGGGTATATATCTCCTTGAGCATCTCAAACCCTAACAACTTGGCATCAAGAACAGCAAGCAAAGAATGTCTACGAGATAAAGCATCAGCTACCATATTCGTTTTGCCAGTTTTGTACTTAATGACATAGGAGAAGGTGTCGATAAAACTTACCCACTTGGCATGGCGCTTGCTTAACTTTGGCTGGCCCTTGAGAAATTTCAAGGATTCGTGATCAGTGTGTATCACGAACTCCCTTGGGCGGAGGTAGTGTTGCCAGGTCTCCAATGCTCTTACAAGTGCGTAAAGCTCTGTCATACGTGGGGTAGTTCAGGGCAGCACCTCCTAGCTTCTCACTGAAGAACGCACAAGGCCTCTTGTCTTGCATGAGGACAACGCCAATACCTACACCAGAAGCATCACATTCTATTTCAAAGTCTTGTTAAAGTTAGGTAATGCTAGAACATGTGCATGTGTGAGTTTGTCCTTGAGGGTGAGAAATGCTTGTTCTTGGGCCTCCCCCCAATGGAACTTGTCATTCTTCTTGGTCACGGCGGTCAGTGGGGCGGCAATGGTGCTGAAATCTTTGAAGAATTGCCGGTAGAAGCCCACCAATCCATGGAAGCTGCGCACCTCATGGACGGATGTTGGAGTCGGCCATTGCTTAATGGCCTCAATCTTGGACACGTCCACTTTGATTCCCTGTGAGCTTACTACATATCCTAAGAACACAAGCTCGTTAGTATAAAAGGTGTACTTCTTAAGGTTAGCGTATAAACGTGCCTGTCGAAGTGCCTCGAGAACAAATCTCACATGCTCTATGTGTTCTTGTTCACTGCGACTATATATCAGAATATCGTCAAAGTAAACAATGACAAATTTTCCAATGAAATGCCTCAAAACATGGTTCATTAGTCGCATGAATGTACTAGGGGTGTTAGTCAACCCAAAAAGCATGACTAGCCACTCGTAGAGACCATGCTTGGTTTTGAAGGCCGTTTTCACAACACTCCAATTGTGATGGTTTTTTGATGATCCTATCTTGATTATGTCCAATTTCCCTATTCGAGATGCTATCTACCAACTATGGGATGATCCTATCTTGGATTCAAAAAAGCATAGGCCTCGGGCAATTTTCCGAAGAAAAAACTACTCGAATAAAGGGCAGAATTAAGACAGATCCAGATTAAACTAAAAATATTAAGCATAACAGACTTTTTTTTCTTGGAGATAATTGCATTTTGATTGAGTTGTTGATATAAGTAAGGAAAATAACTAAGGAAAAGGAGAACAATTAAGGTAGATAAAAAATCCTTCTTTTGAACCCACCCAATCAAAAATCCTCCAATTCTCAAAAGAGAATAGAAGAAATCATACTTTCATACAATATCTTAATAGAATTCTATCTAATGATCAATAAATTAAGTTGAAGTCTATATCTACACGTATCAAAATCCTAGTAATAATTTATTTTATTGTAGAGATATTTCGATTGGGGTTGACAAACAACCATTATTCTTTATATTAGTGTTGAATAAAATCTAAATGGGGCGTGGCCAAGCGGTAAGGCATCGGGTTTTGGTCCCGCTATTCGGAGGTTCGAATCCTTCCGTCCCAGAGCATATCCATTGTGTTATTATTAATTTAAAATAGAATAAAGAAGGTTTTATTTAAAGTCTAATTTTAGGTGAAATGTGTTTCTGATTTCTGATTTTTATCTTTTATGAATCATACTTTTTTCACAAACTTAACTCAATCGAGTTCAAATAACACGCAGGTATAAATTAATCTATTTAGGATCCGGGTAAGATGGGAACATGAATTCCACACGTTTGAATTCAAATTCAAAAAGGGCGAGTGATCTTTTCATTATATGTTCAAAATCTTCCTAATTTAGAGAAGTTAGTTATTTAGAAAAACCCTCTGTCCCATATCTATTTTCTATTTTATCAAAATTGAAATTTTCAACGATTCTATCTATTATTCTTTATCTCGTAAATGGGGTAGTCTAATTATTTATTAATTTTTCTATGGATTTCTGAATTCTAACTATATTTGGTACTAATAAAGTTGACTCAAACTCAATAGAATTAAGTCTCTTAATGTTAATATAGGTTAGGTTGAAATAAAAAAAGGAACAGCTTAATCTGGACTTCTTTAGTTTTGTGTCTAGGTAGTTTGTATCTGCGATCAGAATCCCCTTTTTCATTTCTGTTATGTCCCATTATTCCCATAGAATGGGTGAGCAGATAAGAATTAATCATTAATGGGAGATATTAAAATATTTGCGTCTGTCCGAACTACATTATCAAAAATTTAACAAAACTCCAATGCTATATTATGTAATTATATATTTAACAACCGATATATTTTCTTTGAATCTCAGTTTGGGTATTTCGTGTTGGGTCCTAATGAAAAATTGTAAATCTATGTAACACATGAGATGGTGGTGCTTTATATCTTTTATTATTTTTTATTCACTTTCTATTTCTAGTAAGATAATAATGTTACTTAAAAAAATACATATAAAATGAGGAAAAGTTTATCGTATATGTTTTTATTGTTCTATTTCACTAATAAAAGTCTTTCGATTTTTGTGTGAAAAAGTTTTGTGATACGAAAATTACAAATTGAAATTTGTAATATAGACTATTTAGATTAGAATGGTGACAGGGCAGTTGTTCAGTTGATTTGATAGATACGAAAACCCCTCCCTTACCTATTTATTTTTTTGTTTGCTCTAGTTTATTAATTTAATTCAATTAAGAAGGACTTATCTTTTCTACGATGATCAAATAGGGTCCTTATTGTCAATTTTATTCAAATAATGATACGAGCTTTTTTAATTATGAATGTTTTTTAAAATTATGAATATTTTTAATGATTCCTTAGAAGTTAAATGGACTCTTTGATAGAGGTCTTACTAAAACTTCTTTAGAAAAATCTTTATTGATCTATATCTATCTATAAAAAGAGTATAGAGTACGACGTCTATGCACTAATTGAACCAATGACTATTCATGATTCCATAATTGAATCAATTCCATACCGGTTCCAAATTAGAGGAATGTTATGCTAAAACTTCGTTTGAAACGATGTGGTAGAAAGCAACGTGCGACTTGAAGGAGACGACCTTTTGTGGATTCTTTATTATATCCACCATTTTCCATTTCTATAGGAATGAAAGTGCTCTTGGCTCGACATCATTTGGTAATGTAAATAGTCCAGGATAGAGCTCGAGTAGAAAGTATTAATTGATTTCTCGGAGCAAAAATCTAGGGTTAATGCAAATCAATAAATTGGAACAACTTCGTGAGAATATAACTTCGATATAAAAATCGAAAGGATCCTATTCGAGGAAGTTTCCCATTCAAAAGGAAAATTTGTTGGGATTAATCAAACTTTTTCGACCCAAAGTGTATCACGCGGGAATCAAATGTCCACAAGATTCTTTGATAGAAGGAAATTCCAAAAAGGGTATGTTGCTGCCATTTTGAAAGGATTAAGAAGGACCGAAGGAATGTCTAAACCCAATGATTGATAAAGGATCTCAGAACAAGGAAACACCATTTAAATTGTCTCAATAAATGAGCCCGACTTAGTATCTTAAGATAAGAAATAAAAATTTTAAAGGAGACAAATAAGGGGGTAAAGACCACTCAATAAATGAAATTGCCTAACAATTTTCTTTTGAGCTATTTAAAAGTTATCTAACTTGAGTTATGAGTACGAATGATTTCTTTTTTTTTTTTCAGGAATGAAAAAGAAAAAAAAGACTTAAACCGCAGTCTAATTGATTTGATGATTTTATGCACCTTTTATGATTTACTAGAATTCAATACATAGATAAAACTTCGAATCAAATTATTTTTTTCTCGAGCCGTACGAAGAGAAAACTTCCTATACGTTTCTAGGAGGGGTATTGTTCATTTACATCTATCTCAATGAGCTGTCTTTCGAATCGTTGCAATTGATGTTCGATCCCGAAGAGAAGGAAAAGATCTGCAGAAAGTGGGTTTTTATGATCCGATAAAGAATCAAACTTATTTAAACGTTACTGCTATTCTATATTTCCTTGAACAGGGTGCTCAACCTACAGGAACTGTTCAAGATATTTTTAAAAAGGCGGGGGTTTTTAAGGAACTTCGCCCTAATCAAATGAAGTTCAATTAAGGAAAGAAATGCAAAAAGGGGGTATATAAAAAAGAATAGAGAAAGATTCTATAAAATTATAGAAAAGTCACTACACCCCCCCTTCCCGCCCTATTAGTATCTATTTTTCATTGTTTTCTCATATTCTATGCGACAAAGTCTTATAAAAAAGAAAGAGGGAATCGAGGTAAGTTTGCTTATTCTACTTATTTTATTTTTTATTGAATACATTTTTGATTGGTGTGGATTAAATAAATCAGGGACTTTTTCACCACGTCCTTATTTATTTTCTCATCTACACGTGTAGAATAGAATTATTTAGATATGCAGTGTCAATCCAACGATTTGATCAGTTTGTATTTTAACTGTCAATTGAATTTATTGTATTTTTTTCCATATATTCTTTTCGCAACATTTCTATTGACAACAGTGTATCGAACAAATATAATTCATTGTGATAAGTCAAGTGGATCTATTTAGTTTCGTGCCCTAGGTTTGTTTTTTTTACTTTCAAACCGTGGGTTCTATTATATGCAAGGTTTTTTGATTGATTGAAAAAGTAAATGAAAAAGTAAATTAAGGGGGGTCGGTTTATAAATTTTGATATTTATCTATTTTTTTTATTTTTATCGAAATCTTTCTGAGAATTTCTTGTATTTTCATCTGCCTCTATTCATTTCATTTTTATGTTTTTGTTTTGAATGCATTAGAAAATCTTTTTTTATTTGTTAGCTCAACACTTTGATTGCCTTGTCTAATGTCTTTGTTGAATTTGTTTTTACACTTAATATATTATATTTTATAGATTTTTTGAATTTCTTTTTTATTTTTTTGAATTTTAATTTATTCTTCGGGTTGCTAACTCAACGGTAGAGTACTCGGCTTTTAAATGCGGCTAGTATCTTTTACACATTTAGATGAAGCAGGGGATTCATCTATACCATCGGTAAAGTTTGAAAGACCACGACTGATCCTGAAAGGGAATGAATGGAAAAAACAGCATGTCGGATTGAGGGAGAGTTCTGATGTGACACCCCAACTTTTAAGAAGCTATTGTTTTATGGTTTCTTTAGTTCATTTTATTTTAAAATATTATTTTGTTTCAGGGAAGATACTAAAGTTATTTCTTTGGGTTTGACTTAAAATCTTATTTTGTTTTAAAAGACTAGAAACCCTAAAATTTTAATCAAAAAACCCTAGTTTACTTGTGACTATGTTTAAATCTCTCATATTTGACTCAAAACCCTAATTTTATTCTATGGAATTGTAAAATTCATCACACTTTTATTAAAATTCCTTTTATTTGGAAATTATTTATTTAATATGATCCTCCTACTCAAGTACTCCACAATAAGTGTAAATAAACCTAGAAAGTAGGGTTTCACTCTTCATTTTCAAGATTGGAGTATTAGGGTTTTCGCGATTTTTCGCCGGATGAAATTTCGGTATGGAGCAAGGATCAAATTTGGTGATTAAAAATGACTTTTAAGTAAGAAATAATATGTGATTAGAAGCAATGATACAAGGTTAGTGAATAGGAAGTAAAAACCCTAGTACGTGTGTTTTTAAGAAAAACGGCGCGAACCGGCGGGTCCCGCGCACTACCGATTGAATGCACCACTTGACCACCACTTTCTTACCATACAAGCTTATTGATATTGGAGCAAAATATCCTCTTAATTGTCAGCTGCTTTGACCGAAAATAGAGGTTAAAAATAACAAGGAAAGGAAAGAGAAAAAATGAAAGGTGGTGGTGGCGACAAGTGTCGCCACCCTAGAGTTTCTTGGCCAAGAGAGCAACTAACCTTCTTATTTCCAATTTTGCACTTTCCTCTTCATCTATTGTGAGAACCCGTAATTTGCATTTTCTTGGTTTTCGCATTTTTCATGGCTTGTTTTCTGCACTTTCTGTATCCGGAAAATTTTCTAGATAAATTTTACGAGTAAATATAGTTTTTAGATGATTTTTCTAGTATCGAATAGATTTTGAGAAATTAAGAGCGTATACCGGACGTGGGACCCACTAGTACGAAAAGTTTGAAAAAATTTGGCCAACTAGATTATGTTTTGAATACTGGAATTATTTTATCGGGTGTTAAGAGATAATTAGAGGAAGCTATTTGGATTGATGTGAGAGGGAACAAAGTGATAGACTTGCATTAAAAAGGTGACAAGTGTCACCATAAGATTTAGTCTTGCCATTTGACCACTATTCATGCCTTTACCAATTTAAGCAAAAATTGACCAAAAATCCCTCAAATTTGCAAGCTTGAAGCCGGCTCTCTCTCAAGCAAAAAGAAGAAAACTCTCTCAACTTTCTTGGTTCTAATCTTGCTCAATCTTCAAGATCAACCGTTTAATCTTGCATTTGTTCCATAAAACTCCTTCTATTAGTGTTAGTGAGGTGATTGGTGAAGTTATTTGGAAGGTTAAGGTGACCCATAGCTCTCTCTCTCTTGTTCTTTAGGTAAGTTGTGAAGAACCACCCTCCTCCTTTAATTGATGCTTAAATCATGCTTAGTGGTAGTATAAGATGCAAGTTTATGGATTAATTCTTGATTTGTGGTTGAAATAATGAAGTTTTATTATTTTTGGAGAATTTTCTGTTTTAATATAAGCATGATTGTGTGGCTATGTTTGATGAATGGAAATGATGTTTAAGGACTCTATGAGGTGGGAAAAGTGATTAATTGCAACCAATTTCTGTTTTGGACCAAAAATTGAAAAGTGAGGGTTTTGTGATGAACATTCTGTCCGAATTTTTAGGTCCTAGATAGAGGCCGAATTGGCCTTAGCTCAAAACATGAAAGTTGTATAGAATGACATTTTAGAGGTGCCTACAAAATTTCAGGTCAATCGGAGTTGTGTAGAGTGAGAAAAGTTGAAATTACTATTGCTGTTCTGGTTTACCCGAAATTGGGATTTGCGACTGTAATTGGTTGTTTTGGCTGGAATTGCTTCCGAATTGGTTGTTTAGGTCTTCTGATGAAATTTAGCCCTGTTTCTTAGATTTCAACTGGTTTTGGAATTTATGGATTTGGACTTGTAGAGCCTGAGTTATGATGTTTCCGCTTGAATGCGTTTTGGTAAATCTGTTTTACGTTGTTGATGAAGTATCTTGTATTTTTGACCTGTTTGCACTCAAAACTGGGCTGAGTGACCTTCTGTGATGTTGTATCCCTGTATTTTAGCTTCGAAATGGTGGGTCTTGTACCCTCATCCGACAATCGTAGTGTCTTTGGTGCCAAAACCGCAAAATGACGTCAAAAACTGTTTTCTTGGGTTAAAGCTTATTTCCATTTCCGGATTTTTCTGGTTTCCTTTAATGCTTATATATTCTTATGGAACCTTATTTTGGTAGTACTTGGCCTTGGTTTATGACTTGTAAACGAATCTTATTGTGTTTATTTGAATAGTTTTAAGGCTTGTTTTCATTCCGATCATTTCCTAGCTAACTTTTGTACTTGTACTACTTTGAGCCTAGTGAACGGCTTTTGGGAAATGAGATGACTTTTGTGTGAGATGTTGGGACTGATTTGAGGTAATAGTGAAGCCTTAAGGGCTGGAAAAGTAAGAAATTTAGGGGAAGTTCTGCCGGATTTTCTAGGCCGTTTGGTTCCTTTAAGTTGGATTTGCCTTTTGGTAAAAATGAAAGGCTTTTGGGTTGTTTGCGCCTAGGTCTTCATGTTATCTTTTTGTTTCCAAGAAAATCATGTTTTTGCACCCTTGCATTAGTATTTATTTGGCAAGGCATACGACGTGTAGTCGAGCCTCACTTGTGCATTCCGTTTGCTCGATTTGGATATGAAACCTTCAATTGGTTTATTTTGATTATTTTAGGGTTACTTGGCGATTAAGGCCAATCTGAAGTGAAAACTTTTGAAGTTGAGCCGGTGAGTGTACCACTCCCCTCCATTGCTGTTTAACTTGATTTCTGCTCTGCAATCTGTTTAATTTGTTTGAGACGAGGGTGTACTTTATCACACTCGTTCTCTTATCTGTTCATATGCCAATTTACTATGCAAAATTTGAATCTGTTATCTGTGTCTGCATCTGTTCGGATATCTATGACCTATGAGCTCAATCCTGTGGCTAAGTTATTCGAGTCGGGCCGGCAAGGGCCTGGGCGATTAGATAACGAACCACGGTAGTCTGTTTTGGGATCTTTGGGTATTGAGACCCTTGATTCCGGGTATACTCGAGTATTACCATTTCTGTTCGTTTGCGGTGAGCGGGCCCGGTAAAGGGGTGTTTGGTGAACGGGATTCGGTGTAAAGACGGGTCTACGGACGTTGGTTCTATATACGTTGACGGAGAGTCAATCGGCTTGGATCAAGTACTGCGCTGGAAAGTTGGCTCCTGAGAGCTACCTGTATCCTTTTGATTTGAATCATTGGTTCCTTTACTTTACATCTGGCATGTGTACCTGATTTGTGAAATGTGAAAGGCCATGATTTTACTGCTATATGTTTGGGACCTCATTGAGCGCAAGCTCACCCCTTTCTGTTCCTTTTGTTTTCCTTACAGGAAAATAAATACTTTTGGACTGGATTTGATAATCGGTTGCCGAATTGAGCTAGTTGGACATATCTTTTGTATAGCTCATTGATTTAAATCCTAAATGTACTTTTGGGTCCGTTTCTCTATTGGATTTGGCAAACCATACATGTATCCATTTTTGAATCACTTTGGTGTGCCCTTTGGGTTGTAATGCTAAATTCTGAGATGTGAATGTTTGCTTGATATTTGGATGGGTTCTGACGGGTCGGTTACTATTCATAGCCGACTTCGGTTTCGTTTTTTGTTATTTTGACATTTTGATATGTTTACCGCGTTGGTAAGTTCCGGAATGTTTTTAGCTCGCTCTATTCCGATCCGTTAGTCCTGGCGAGAGCTGGGCAGGCGGTCCGCCGAACCCTTTGGTTCGCCTTAGGGTGAGGTGGGGCTGTCACATCTATTTTCTGCATCTTGGCCGAGTAAGGAGAGAGAGAAAGGGAGAGCAAGAGTTGCACCATTTTCTTCTTGAATTACACCAACCAAGTGCTGAAATCGAATTCTAAACCGATTGATCGTAAGTTTGGAAGCTTGGGAAGCTAAGGGAACCAAAAATTTCAAGAAATAGTGGAGGATCACTCTTGCAAGCCTTCTTTTTGAGGTATAAAATCTGATCTATGGCTTTGATCCTTTTATTCTTGTTTAAGATGTTAAATAGTTCATGTTTTGGTTAGATTACAAGTTATGCAAGTTGATGTGATGATTTTGGATGAGATAGGTAAGTTAGGGTTTGATTAATTTCTGCCTATACTTGATGTTTGATTGATATATGTTGTATCCAAAGTTATATAGGGAGTTTTGGTAGCAAGCGTAGCAAGAAATTAAGAAAACTATCATTGAAACCAAAAGATTCCAGATTTCTGGAAATTTTTTCCCCTTTCTGTCCGTTTTTGTTGTACCATGTTAGAAGCCGAATTGGTCTTAGCTTAAAACATGAAAGTTGTAGGGAATGACATTCTAGAGGTGCCTACAAAATTTCAGGACAATCGGAGTAGCGTAGAATGAGAAAAGTCAAAATTACCCTTGCTGTCCTGTTTCTACCCGAACTTGAGAACTGCGATTGTAATTGCTTATTTTGGTTTGGACTGTTTCAGAATTGGTTGTTGAGGCCTTCTGATAGAATTTAGCCCTGTTTCTTAGCTTTCAGCTGGTTTTGGACTTATGTAGGCTGTTTTATGATGTTTGTACTAGATTATGGTTTGTGAACCTGTTTTGCGATTCTGGTGTAGTATGTTACATTTTTGACGTAGTTACACTCGAAATTTGACTGAGTGGCCTTCTTCAACATTGTAGCCTCTTAAGTCCTGAATATGCCTGTAAAATTTCGGGTCAAACGGATTAGTGTATCATGAGTTATAGATGAAATACTCAAGCCTATTTTGAACATCAGGTTCTGTGCGTTTTTAGTTGAGCTTCTGTCCGTGACTTTTTCGGTTTTGATCCTGTACGATCTGGGTTTTGACTCCTTCATAA